AATCATTGAAACTTACTACAACATATTCTTGTTCCATATTCGAATGCGGTACGATTGTATATTTCACCAGTTAGATTGATAGGCCTTGAATATAAGGTGCATAGTGTTGGTAAATCCTAATAAAAGTATCAAGATAGAAAGCACATGTTATGAAGCGAACAATAATCTGAATGATTTACGGAGAAGATGAGATTACTTTGTTCTAACCAAAAATGTTGAATGAAAGTTTCAAGGTGTCCTGGAATTCGACGCTTTCATCTACAGTGTGAGATGTATACAGTTGATCTGATTAAAACAATAAGACACAATTCACATTCTACATCTCATTCATTCATTTACTCAATGCTGTCCAGTCATGTGTTTAAACAAAAATATGGAAATTCATTTCAACTTACAGCTGGAGTTGTGTATGAATAACATAGAGGATTCGATAGACATTCATTTAAGCAGTAGGATGAAGTTTGAACTATACCCAAAGTATAGTTATTTATAAATGATCGACTTGGTAGTCCCCATCCACCTATCCATTTCGAATAATTACAAGGCATAATTTTACTACAGTTCGTGCACCATTTACATGTCGATAACAGCGTAATATCTGCTCTTATATTTGATTGTGTGTAACAACAAGCGAAACAGTGAATTGAAATGAATGCGTGAATAATGAATAAATGTTTAGTCATTTGAAGTAAGTTAAAATGTAGAAGGAATTCTTATAAAAAATGATATGAGATATAACTGGATAATCATGATTTTCTTTGAATGTCAGACGTTTATATAGTTGAATGACATGAGCACATTGACTAATCAGATATTGGCTGGTAATTTGTTATTTAATTTCATCCAATTGGATTAGTGTAATTCTCTGAGTATTTTGAAAAGAGCAAAAACAAGCTATTCTAGCAGAATAGCATGAATTCATTTTTATTTCGTTGGTTCTCGTCAAACTCCGCCTGGAGCCCCTTTCCGGGGGCTACTGCCGGTCCCAAGCCCGGATAAAGGAGGAGGGTTGGGCATGGGGTTAGCGACCCCATCCCGTAGAAAACTAACTCGCTAAAAAAACGCTAACCAGATTTATGGTTCTCGTCAGCTGCTTACAACCTGTGATATTTACAAATCACAATTACATAATGGGTTTAAATGACTTACATGAAAGAGTTTGACTGGAAGTTATATTGAAGACATATTTGTATAGTATAGCAAGGGCGTAAATAAATTTAATAGACTAAATATTGTAAATATATACCTTATATAAAAGAACATTCTACAACATTGATTATGACAACAGTTCAAATAGCCAGAAACAAGTGACTACATAATAAGTAAATGCTGATAGGAATAAAGTGAGTAGAGCTCAACTGAACGTCTGTTGTGCACATTAATAGTAGTTTTTTTAATTCCGGGGCTGGTAAAGGTAGAAGATTATCGTGTTTGTGAACTATTGGTAAACTATACATATGAGGTAGACGTGAGCAGCGTGGTTTTAGATCATTATAAATAGAATTAATAATCATTTTCCTTTTTAGAAATTCTCTAAGCATGCCTGTGATTCGTTTTTCTGTTGAATCAGTTAAATCTTTTTTGGATTTATCTACCTTGAATCTCAGTTGATCTTCTAGGATTAGCTTCATCTTAGCGACTTAATCAGCTGTATTCATCAGCACGACACCTGAACCTTTATCTGGTCGTAAAATCATCACCTCATTATTTTGTTTGATGTTTCTTAGGGCTGTCAGACGTTCAATTCCAGTTTAATAACACCATATATTGTCAAATCGACGGCGTAGCAATGGGAAGTCCATTAGGCCTAATTCTGGCAGATATTTTTATGGGGTATCTTGAAAACATGGTGCTTAAACAAGCGATTAGCGAAACGATGGAATATTCTAGATATGTTGATGACACGTTTATTGTCTGTAACAATAAACAGCATGCAATTCGCTTGCTTAAACTCTTCAATAACGCTTATCCTAAAATACAATTTACTATGGAACACGAACGGAATGACACGTTCCATTTTCTTGATGTTGCTATAAAACATAGGAGAGACGGGAAAGTCCAACGTTCACTTTATTGAAAAAGTACTTGGAACGGCCTTTACCTGAATTTCAGTAGTTTTTGTTCACTCAGCTACAAGAAGGCATTAGTTAAAACACTATTTCATAGGGCAGAAAGAATATGTACCACTGACAAACTGGAAGAAGAATTGGTGAACGTGAAAAAATGCCTACGAGACAACTTTTACCCACAAACGTTTATTGACAAATATAAAAAGTGTAAAGAAAACAATACTGAAGTAATTACGGTCAATAAGAAACCAATAACCATAAATCTTAACTTCAAAGGTGATGATGTAGCAAACACAATCAACAGGAGAATGAATACTGCGCAAGCCAGAACTTATCCAGCGGCCAAACTTCTAAGTTTGTATAAAACAACTTGTTCCGTAACTCAATCAAAGGTTGTTGCCACCAATTGTATTTATAAATTTACGTGTACCTGCCAAAGCAGCTACATTGGCCGGACAGAAAGAAGAGCATATCTCAGATTTTTTAAACATGTTCCAAAACGCTTCAGAACAAGAGAAAGAAGGACTTTAATTAGTACAATCACCAAACATCTCCTTGATGCAGGACATCAGGTCGATACCCTACAATCGTTCAAGGTGATTAGTAAGCAGCCAAACTCCAGTCTTCTGAAGTTTGCTGAAGCAGTTGCTATCAGATGTCAAAAACCTGGTTTATGTGTTCGAAAGGAGACGGTTATTAATCTTTCCTTGCCTTGGTGACTAATATTCCTTCACTGTATCTTAATATATTTTTTTCTTTTTCTTTAAACTCTTTCTTGCACTTATCACATCATTGAGTTTTATTCCAACTATCTTCCAAAAGAAAATTTTTAATCTTATTTTATCAACTGAACTCTACTCATTTTATTCCTATCAATGTGTACTTGTTTCTAGCCCTTTGAACTGTTGTCACAATGTTCTTTTATATAAGGTATATATTTACAATATTCAGTCTATTAAATTTATTTACGCCCTTGCTATACTATACAAATATGTCTTCAATATAACTTCCAGTCAAACTCTTTCATGTAAGTCATTTAAACCCATTATGTAATTGTGATTTGTAAATATCACAGGTTGTAAGCCGCTGACGAGAACCAACGAAATAAAAATGAATTCATGCTATTCTGCGAGTATGTTTGTTCTTGCTCTTTTCAAAATGGTAAAGGGAACTATGTGTATGAAATATCTGAGTATTTCTAAATTTTATTATATTGTGGTTTGTGCTACTGATGTCATCATCAATCGAAATTGAAATGCCTGGCGGCAGAAGGTCACGAAGTTCGAAGAAATGAGAACGTGTACCGAGAGTGGTTGGCATGGAAACGAAGAAACAATGAGATCATTGTTTGTGTGTGATTAGCAAGTCAACTTACAAAATTTAAATGATACCGTTCAATAATCGATTAATTTCTTCATAAGCTTTTCTGAATGAACATGTTCAAAAGGTCTCATGAAGTGATTCTATTTAACTACAACTACTGGTCAGTGGACTTAATAGTACTTTTCATCATTATCTCAATTCTCTAGTATCTATGTTAGATTCCCTTGTGATTTTCCGTTATTCATTCCACTTCATTTCATTTCTTCCATGTTGGTTTATTGCAAAATCTGGATCTTCAGTCCGAATTCCGATTCAATGTTAGTGGATATGAAAGCGTCGTTAACGATTGATTTATAATTTAGAAACTGGGAACCTTTCCCAAATGTCGATTTGTTCATGTTTTATCAATACTGTAATCATAACGATCACCATTAATTTAATTGTTCACGAATTCCTTATCCTAAAATGGGATAAGTGTTCTACTTAGTTTGGTACATACAACGCTTTCAATGTGCTTAAATCTCATTGAATCGTTTCATAAATTCCTTCGTTAACCACTTAACGGAGCTCAATTTTACATATTAACAACCTCTATCAAATAAAAACTTCGGTGAGGGATACTTGTCAAATTCCTTAGATAATTTGTTGCCCCACTGATGTGGTTTATTCGTATAGACAAGTGAAACGGGATTGAATATGAACTTGATAGTTTTCTCGAATATTTCTAATGTATGTGAAGTGTATGTTGAAAGTCTGATCACTAGTCTCTTCACAGTTAACCAGCATTTTCAGTTTTGCACTAAGAACATACAGTGGTGCATTTTATTACTACTATGGTGTATGCTACTGATGTCGACAGAGATAAGTAGTATGTATAATCAACCAAAAATGAAATGCCTGGTGGTAGAAAGTTAAGAAAATCGAGGAAAAAAAGAATAAGAACAAAGAATAATTGATGTGGAAACGAAAGAACAGTCAAGTTTGAGACGATTGATGGACATTTTGCAAATGAAATATTCACTATATGGTTATCAGAATTCACTGAAATGTTCTATAATTTTATGTACAGTCACATTCGGTTGCTGCCGCATGTGTTCTCGTTCACGTTTAAATGGCTAAACATTTCGATAATGATAAACTAGTGCTCTGCAATCAGTCATTAAATCAAGATGGCTTATTAGTCATTCCAGATAATACTATGCATTTCAAACTGGTTCCGTTTTTATTCAACAATATTTAATGATCCGTATGGAGTTGTAGGTATTGTTGAAGGTTACTTATTCAGATCACCAACCGATCTAAATTGGACAACTCCATTTACGGGATCATGGATTTGCAATGTTGAAAATTGTCGTACTAGGATTAAATGGTTATCCAGTGCCTCCAAGCTTTCAATGATTAACACAGTCTAACTTGAATGGGTTCGTGGTCTAAAAGTACATGGAAATAGAATTGAAATTATCAGCATTTAAATCTCATCATGGATTAAACATGGACGGAACTTGTTCCCCAAAATAGAAATATGAGGTCATATGAAAATGTTAGATAATCCAAGTATTAAATTTTAAACACATTCTATTGAATATTCAACAAAATGTTACCTTTGAGTTAAGTGCGATAATGATGATGATGATGATGATGATGATGATGATGATGATGATGATGATGATGATGATGATGATGATGATGATGATGATGATGATGATGATGATGATGATGATGATGATGATGATGGGATGATGATGATGATGATGATGATGATGATGATGATGATGATGATGATGATGATGATGATGATGATGATGATGATGATGATGATGATGATGATGATGATGATGATGATGATGATGATGATGATGATGATGATGATGATGATGATGATGATGATTGGATGATGATGATGATGATTGATGATGATGATGATGATGATGATGATGATGATGATGATGATGATGATGATGATGATGATGATGATGATGATGATGATGATGATGATGATGATGATGATGATGATGATGATGATGATGATGATGATGATGATGATGATGATGATGATGATTGGGATGATGATGATGATGATGATGATGATGATGATGATGATGATGATGATGATGATGATGATGATGATGATGATGATGATGATGATGATTGGGATGATGATGATGATGATGATGATGATGATGATGATGATGATGATGATGATGATGATGATGATGATGATGATGATGATGATGATGATGATGATGATGATGATGATTGGGATGATGATGATGATGATGATGATGATGATGATGATGATGATGATGATGATGATGATGATGATGATGATGATGATGATGATGATGATGATGATGGTTCCATTTGTGGTAGACAATGTCATCAACAGATTCTTTAAACTACCATATCTGCTTAGAAACCAAAGTCATTATCTTTGGTGAAATACTCATATTACGTAATTTCATTTTATTTACAATAAAGTTTCAACTATTTAAAACAACGTGAACAACAAGAAATATTTAATGACAACGACTTAATAAAACTCAAGTCATTGGGAAACTCAATAGGATTTCACCTTAAAGCACCAATGTAGTCAAATATTATTATACCTTTTTTCATAAACACTGATAAACAATGTAGATGTTCATTGATGGCCCTTTATGATTATCATTTACTAGGATGATTTAATTCAATTCAATACTGTTATTTCAGTTTCAATGATATCATTATGATGCGATGAACAATTCACTTCATTGGTATACAACACTTGAAAACTTTTGTCACTGAATGAGTTATAAATGATTAACAACATGAATTAAGACGAAGGGAAAATGGTTTGAAGAAGAACAAGAGGAAATAAGAGTCTACCGATTTGTCATCATTTTTACTAAACATTCAATTCATCTCATCTTTTGTTGATGCATTTACTGAATAAATGACATAAATAATTTTTAAAAATTAATTTACACAGACATGTAAACTTTCTTGATAGGTTGTGTTTAGAAAGAAACCATTAACAGTCAGTAGAGTGAAATTTATGAAACAAGTGACTACATTGAACAGAAGCTGAGATGATAGTGGCTAGCAGCGGAATTTAAGACGCCTGTTTCCTTGTATTTTTAACTGGTGAGCTGGATGAACCCACACCTCACAGTTGATGCTCACTTTTGTTAGTGACTAAAGGCAATATCGAGGTAATCCGAATAGGATGCACATAAGCCCATGACAGGCTGATCAATTTCAGTCGTAAACATCAATGAGAAGTTTCAAGCACCCAAAACAAGCATGAATCGCATTACATTCATGATTTTACTGAAATTTGATAATTAATTTATGCAAGCACATCAAGCTCTAATAACAATAGACAATGTGCTGTACTTAAATGTGTAATGTAGAATACGAAAGCGATAAAGTAAGTCAATGTGAATAAAATGACAGAAGTGACAAAAGACTGACAAATATGGAGTTGAGTTAATTTATCTGGTCAATTGACTACTGAGTTGTATGTGTCAACAGAATGTATTCAGTAGTGGATAGATTCACATCGTTCTATGGAGAATACATCCATATTTTAAATCATCAATTCTAACAACTAAACAAAAGAAAATGCTATATCCTTCAAAGTATGTCACACCAAATTGATATGTGATGCTAGCGAAACTAAAAAACCCAAATAATTAACAGTATATAGTTGCGAGACTGCAGATTTTCGATTCACATCATATGTGGATGAATGTTGGACCAACATTGAGGATTCACATAATACGACGAATTAGCAGTCTTTTCAATGCTTTCAGGTTAGCATTTGTGATCCTCCTTTGAGCTATTCATGATCTCAACCAAAACCCAAATAATTACACCACAAAAGCTGAAATACAATACAAATAATGGAATACAAATAATTGTTAAACATGGTAGTTGCAATTGATGAATAGAATACATTTACTATGAGGTGAAGTGGAATGGTGTCATTCTATTGTATCTCGGATAACATCAATTGTATTATCTTTTATTTGTTTAAGTGAACTCATTGAATTCACCTCAACTTTATACTACTTATTTTGTATTTATTGTTCACAAATACAAAATTCTCCATTAGTGATATACAGTTTTGTAAGTCCACTTCATTCATTCATTGAAGTTCTCACATGATTGTCCCATTCTGTTTGTACTTGTGTTATGGTGACTGTGGTAATAAAATGCATTCAGCTTTCAATTGTAATTTCACACTTGAATTAAATAAATGCATATAACTGTGCATTGTATATGATGGAATAATGGAACTAGTACAATACACAATTTCACTATTGTGTTGATTGAATACAATCAAATGAAACAGTTCTCGTTCTGGGTTACATTGTGAATGGTAGTTGAGGAAGACAGAACAATAGGCAGAAGTGAATAGTTGTTAAGAGATAAAAGGGGTGAGTACTGGGAATTGATTATGCGTTAACAATACATGCAGTATTGTATGCTGCTTAGGTCAAATTACCCACTTTCCTTAAACAATGAAAAGAAATTAAAATGTTTGATAACAATGTGATTAAAGGGTAACAAGTTCATTCTCTGTCAAACTGCTTTCAAGAATTTCATTTCAATGTGGATATTTATGTAATAAAACCAGTGTTCGTAATGTATAAGTGTAGTTACTATTTCGTGACGAAGTAATCGACCTCTGTTCGCTACTACTCATATTAGGACTCGATGGCCGTCCAATGCTTCCAGAATATTGGTGGTGCTCAAACATTGATCGATTCATGATCTCAATCAAAACTCATCAATTTCCACAATCCTATACTGTCAATCTAAACAAGGCACCTTATCGATCTCAATTAATTCCTGTAGTGTAAATACCTACTGAATTTTACACATGCACTTCTTATCCACAATTATCATTTATAATGATTCTTAGTGGTTGGAATGAATATTACCACAATATTGAGAATGCGGTAACACTATAATATTAATAATTATTCATATAGTCTCGTCCACTAAAATATTTTAACTGCATTTCTATCCTGATCCTCTGTCAGTCGATTTTTGAATTATCCTAAAGTGAACAAGAAATTATCTGCAACTTGTTTACTGGAATAAATATTTTGAAATGGAATTCGATTCGTTAGTGAAATACTTTGACTAGATTGACATGATGATTGTAATCGAGTTGAAATATGGTATATTGTGGTTACACAAAGAAACAGAGAGAACGGAGCGAGATTGCTTGCATTGTTTCAGATTGTTTGTTGAAAGCTCCACGATATATGCGCCTACTTGAGTTAAATCACACATAATCGATGGGAATAGATGGTTTCAGATTTAGTTTATTGAAAGTCAATGATTTCATTGCGTGAATGTAGTCAGATATATCTTTTCATTTATGCTACTTAAAGGTTTTGAAGCTTCAATGCAAATTATATGAGATTGCGTAACTTGAGATGTTCCAGATATAGAATAGCTGGTGAAGCCTACCGTAACAAATGAACAAATAAAAAAGTTTGTGCTATGCTTATCCTGGATGTGTATAGTCTACTTGCATACTTCTCATTCGAGTATCGCTTGGCAAACATGCAGTTACATACACCCTGTGAACAAATACATGTTAAACGTACACTAGTAACATACAGGTTTTACTTCACGTACGTGCCTAATTGAAGTAAATCACACATAATCGATGGGAAATGATGGTTTCAGATTTAGTTTTTTGAAAGTCAAGGATAAACATTTCGAAATGGATTTCGAAGCTCTCACGCACGAAATGCTCATCCTTTGCCACGTGCATAAAACAAATAACAGGGTAGTCCTACTAACTGCATTCTGGTGGCGCATGTCTTGCTCACGAAATTGGAAGGACGAAAAGAGAAATTCCGGAGCTTAACCGAATTGCTGGATATGGAGGAACCAACTAGGGGATTTGGAAAACTCTGATTCTAAATCAATTGTGAAAATAGGCTCCTGGATCTTGAAAGAACAATTGGCTTATGAACTAGTTATTGTTCACCAGATATGTTATCTGAGGGATTCATAATAAGCTACTTTTCAAGTACATCTCTGTTGTAAACTTCACTCTCGAAGGTGAATGCTGTTAGTTTCAAGATTTTATTTCTGTACTTCCGTCTCGTGATCAAACAACACATGTTTACGTATCTACCATAAGTCGAGAGCTGTTAAGTGAGACTAAACCGTTTCAGAATAATCATTTCAAGACAAATCATTAATAGAAGAGCAATGAGTTATATCGTAACCGAACTTTAATACCGTTAGTTATTTGTTCTTCGAATTATTATTTCCTATATCGAAACAGCATTAATAAATTCTGTGGCTCGACTGAAAATGCAGCTGTAAACTAATTAGTTGAATAAAAAACTATCATATGAAGTGACATCTACTAACTATGATGTATCAAATGTTTGAATTATTTGGTGATAGATTTCAATGCTTTATTCTGCTAGTGATAGTACAGTTAAATAGATTAGAATGAGCAAGTGGAAGGTCTGTGATGAGTAATGAAAATATAAATAATAATATTAATGACCGTAATGATAACAGTTGCTCTCTTCAATGATATATAGTTGATTAAGTATTTGAAGAAAAGTTTCTTAAGTAGCTCTACCACAATAGGATATTCCATCACTTCTTATACATTTGATGTTTGGATTTACACTCAATCGTATGTCATTTCTATGGGGAAAATATCACACGGTGAATAGATGGAAATAACGTGACCTTTGTAAATATAGCTATAATATTCCTCGACAGGTTCTATACCTTTCTCAACATGTGTGGAAACTATAGAGGCATCACTCTTATCTCACTACCATAAAAAGTCTTCAACATGGTGTTTTTAAACAGAAGTAGTAGTAGGAGGGGGAGGAATGATAGTAGTAGTAGTATTATATTCATTATTCATTACATACCTTCTACTTATTCATTTTTAACAGTAAGTATTTCACATTCAGTGGAGTTTAGTAGGTTTTCACTATCTACTCAAGTAATAATCTAGTAGTATGTATATTTGTGCAACAATTGAATCGGAAATAAAGCGTTTGTGAGCAGTGTCAGAGACTTAGTATAAACACTATTAAAAATGAGCTAGAACTGAATGGCTCTTTCGTTGCAAATGCAAGAGAATCCTCTGAATTTCTAATCTATTCAATTGTACTATCAAAAACAGAATGAAACATTGAAATCTCCCACTGAACAATTCAAACCTTTCATAAACCATAGTTAGTGGATATCACTTCATTTGAACAGTTTTCATTCAACTAATTTGTTTACAGCTTCACATTGAAGCACAACACCGAAATATCAGTCGAGCCACACGATTCATCAAAGCAGTTTTGATATAGGAAATAATAATAGTATGG